TTTTATTATAAATTCCTATTCAAATCAAATTCCATTTTAATTAAAATCAAATAATGCAAGTAATATTGTTTAAATCTAAGATGACAATTAATGGGGAAAAACATTGCAGGTAAAAATGAACTGAAATAAAACTATTGAGGACGAATAAAATGTTGTGTTTGCGGTTAGCATGGTTAGTAGATTATCCTATGCAAATTAACAAGTTTGACTTCGGCCGAGTATCTTTTTAAAGATACTTCTTGTTTATCATGATTTTCGGTTAATTAACGGTTAATACGCCATCCTTTTATAGGTATCTTCAGGACAAATATATATATTTTCGGGTTTTAGCCACCATTTTATACTGTAGAGACAGGTATTTCTTGTAGTTTGTCATTTTATAGAGATAGGAAAGTATGATGAAAATTGAAAGCAAATAAATGCTATGACTAAGAATGACCAAGAATTGATTATAGTAAGATTAACTTCTCGAATTAAAAATATGTGAGTAAAGGAAATATTCGACTACATTTATGTTAAAACAGTTGTTAGTAAATGCACATTTTTTCCCGATGTCAGTTTTATTTTTACTAGAAAAATTCTTTACCCTTATTCTTTCTTGATGGAGGTTATGAATTTAAATTGTACAAGAGATTCGTATATAATGCTTAGCAAAAGTAACTTTTATGAACAATGTATGGCAAATTCGAAAAATAATATTCACGAATACATCTGGAATTGCAAACTCGCTGCCGTATGTTTACTTAAGTGTAAAAGAAAATGAAAAACAAAATGCTGGTGATTATTTCCGCACATGTCTGTCAGTTCCCTACTCAAAACACTGGGTTATCCCTTCATGTTTAGAAAGAAATTGCAGAAAACATTAGTAGCTCTTACATGTCATAAACAGTGTTTGTTATTTTAGTAATACATTTTTGAACAAAAACAAAGGCATTAATTATGTTAACAGTTTCTCGTATTGTTATTAAAATTACTGTTGTATGATTATATATTAATTTATTGAAGTATAAAGAAATTGCATCTCTGGTGAAATGTGTTATTTAAAGTGATATTATCAATATTAAAACGGAAAACACTTGATACTGATCAGCAAAAAATAAAATTCATTGATTACAAAAAGAGCTCATGTGCTGTAAAAGCCAAATTTATGCACGAAGTTTTCAAAAGTTTAACGTTCTAGTTCTACGACCAATTCTAACACGACCCGCATTTTTGAAGAACCGAAAGTGTGTATTATTATGCAACAAAGTCACTGTTGACGTTCTATATTTAGACTTATGACGTAACCATTATATACATGTGACGTAACCATTAAAAATGCCGCGCGCTGAAAATAAGTACGGAAACAAATCAGGTGCAATTTAGGTTATTATCAGGTACGGCAAAATTTATTGTTTATGTCGTGTTAGAATCGAAATAATATATCCGAATCAGTGATTTTATCGCTTGATAACATCACAGTTTGTCGTTCGGATGCGCATCATTATATCACTCGGGCTACGCCCTCGTGATATACTTCCTCGCATCCGAACTCCAAACAGTGATGTTATTGAGCGATAAAATCACTGTTTGGGATATATTATTTCTTAATTGATTCGAATTTTATTATAAAAAGGTTAAACACTTGAGAGGGAAATTTTTCGAATTTAAGGAAAATCAAACATTGAAAAGAAAACATAAAGTTTTTAAGATAATACTTGTATCACAATCCAAGTTATATGATAATGTATGACTGTGTACTTGCAGACAAAGAGATCATGCAAAACTTTATTGATTGGCCAAATAACAGCGCATACATTTATATACTGCAGTATATATATTTTTTAAAAGATTTTAGAGTTTTTTTTTGTTTCAAATAACATATAACTGTATGTGCAAAACGATTTATTCTAACACGACCCGCATTTTTCCCTATTGAACATAGAAGAACCGAAAGTGTGTATTATTATGCAATAGAGTCACTGTTTGACGTTTTATATTTAGACGTGTGACGTAATCATTGTACATGTGACGTAACCACTATGAAATCCGACGCGCTGACAATAAGTACGGAAACAAATCAGGCGCAATTTTGCTTAATAGCAGGTACGGCAGCATTTATTTGTTTATGTCGTGTTAGAATCGAAATAATATATCCAAATCGGTGATTTTATCGCTGGATAACATCACTGTTTGTCGTTCGGATGCGCAACATTATATCACTCGGGCTACGCCCTCGTGATATAATTCCTCGCATCCGAACTCCAAACAGTGATGTTATTGAGCTATAAAATCACAGTTTGGGATATATTATTTCTTAAACAACATGACAGAGTAACAAAACATTCTGTAAAATAATTACTTTGGATATTTGACTTAAAAATGTTACTGTGGGAAGGATGCTGAACATCTAAGAATTAAATATTTGTGAAATGCTCAAAATATGTAAATTTGATCTTTTTATTAAAAAACAGTTTTCTTTACTCTTATTGAAAGTTTGTGTTTTATGTAATGTTAAATTTCCTTCTTTTAAATGAACGCGTTTCTAAAATGATATAAAAACATTTAAAAAAATAAAGAAAGTTTTTCTTGTAGTTGTCTTTTTGCCCTGTTTCACTGACATTCAAAATTTATATGTCTGCTAAATTGCATTTTCAAAACGAATGAAAAAGACATTGCTATGTACTTCAACAAACATTTGATTTTAAATATATGTCCGTGTAAAACAAAATAATGTGACCTTTGAGATTATTACTCTAACTTGTACTTCCATATGTGCGAATATTTGCCTATTCTTGTTATCTCGCTATTTTGTTTGAAATTTCATTTGCGCATCCGTTATTGATGAATAATTTCGCAGCTATATGATCGGGATCGTGCTCCTATATATAAAGCATATGAGTATTTCATAATGTGATGTTGAAATTCTAACATCAAAACACTTTATCACATAAAACTAAAACAACAATTCCTCCGCTAGGTCAGGTTTTGTACATTTAATTAAACACAAGTGGCATTATTATTATTATTATTATTGTTATTATTATTATTATTTATATTATTATTATTATTACAATGTATTATTATTATTATTAAAGATATACCATGCTCATCCTTGAGTAAAACGTTTCTTTTATTATCGTAACTGGTGGTAAGATCTGGTGTTACTATTTTACGCAATACCGTAAGTGTAACAATAAAAGCGATTGGCAAGTGTACGCTAATGTTTTCAATACCCGTGCAACTGTTATACAAATTATTGTTTCTAGAGACCGTTCTGTCACATCTACTTATTGTTAGAAATCTTGCTAAGAATTATTGTACCTTGCACATAAAATAATAATTGGGAATAAGTTTATGACTTATACGTACTCATCAAACACAGTCTGCAATTTGCATGTAAATTTGCTGTTTTAATAATAAAGGGAGATCACCTTTTGCCAGATATTTATAAAACAAAATCACATAAAACGGATTTTACTCAAATGGATAACCGTAATATTAAGTTAGAAATAGATTTATAACAACAAAATGGGAGTGTTAAAAATGGCGTTTCAAATGTAAATTAACTGTTTTTAAATACATGTAAAGACAATTAAGAGATATATATCTTTTCCAAGCGAATTCGACCAGTGCGACCTTGTTCCTTTGGTATGTGATGTTCATTTTTCCTCGGTATTTTTGAGTCTCTTATATTTACTAGGACCTGAAATCAGTCTGAAATATTAGACCGGTGTCTTACTCATACGTGACTGAAAAATGTTCTAGCCAAATTGAATTTCTTTTTAAAACATTTTGTGCCTCCGACTTTACATCGGTATGTTCAGGTAACAAAAAACACTCTTTCATGTCTACTCCTTTCCTACGTAAGGTCCCTGCCCTATTTCGATAGTCCAGAAGTTGGCAGACTTTGGTAGTCTAGCTTGCGGTATGAACTTTGAGAATGACATTACTTTGTAAAGAAAATACTCTCGTTAGAATATAAATGAACCAGAAACAATCGACGGTTTATATCGTTTTAATAATAAAAGCATCATAATAGATGTACACATAGTATACTATAAATATCAAAGATAAACATATTCTAATAAGATATGCAATAAGGCAAAATGATAAAACAATTGTAACTCACTATAAATATAGTCAAAAGTTGCATGAATTTATAATGTAATGCTTTGAATGCAGTTGATTCATATGTAATAACATGTATACATTTAGCCATAACTTTTGTCAGACTTAAACGATCAAAACACAATTTTATAAATGCTTATTTATCCAATCTGTTTTGGTAGTTACAAAATATGAATTACATTTCACTCTCTACCTATAATTGTTTGCATGTGCTATTTTGGCATTTTGAACATAACCTTCATTCATTTTAACGACCTTAAACACACTCATATGCACCCGCACAATCCAACAACATTTTCTAATAGACATCATGTCACATGAGCGAGAAATCGTTACTGGTAACAACCTCTTGACTGCAACTTGATAAAAAGACTGCAACTAGATCAAAAGACTGCAACTAGATAAAAAGACTGCAACTAGATAAAAAGACTGCAACTTGATAAAAAGACTGCAACTAGATAAAAAGACTGCAACTTGATAAAAAGACTGCAACTAGATAAAAAGACTGCAACTTGATAAAAAGACTGCGACTTGATAAAAAGACTGCAACTAGATAAAAAGACTGCAACTTGATAAAAAGACTGCAACTTGATAAAAAGACTGCAACTTGATAAAAAGACTGCAACTAGATAAAAAGACTGCAACTTGATAAAAAGACTGCAACTTGATAAAAAGACTGCAACTAGATAAAAAGACTGCAACTTGATAAAAAGACTGCAACATGATAAAAAGACTGCAACTAGATAAAAAGACTGCAACTTGATAAAAAAGACTGCAACTTGATAAAAAGACTGCAACTAGATAAAAAGACTGCAACTTGATAAAAAGACTGCAACTTGATAAAAAGACTGCAACTAGATAAAAAGACTGCAACTTGATAAAAAGACTGCAACTAGATAAAAAGACTGCAACTTGATAAAAAGACTATCATGAAAATTTGTTACGTTCCAAACGGGGTCTACAAGCAATTCTGTATTGGTATGACATAAGAGGAATAAACTTTATAATCCCTGGTCACGTGTTACATGACTCTATGTAACATAGATTATTTGTTTCTACATTATAAAATGTACAAGAGTTTAATTCTTTTTCGGTAAAGTTCATCTATGTATTTATGGGATTTTCCAGCCAACAATAAAGACACAAAATCTGGCATTGCATGGAAAAAAATATTCAATTTCGTTCTAGAATCCTTCAAAATTCGTTTTACATAATCTCTAGTGCCACCGTCAAGACCTATTTGCAATGTCAAATCAGAATTAATAGACGATGCTGTGATGATGTCACACATAAGGCAATAATGTTCGACTTTATCCCTCCAGCTTCCAAACATTGACAAAATATGTGGCTCAGTTATTTTTATTGAAATACAACAGTATAATTTAGGAATTTTTAGAATAATACTGCCACCATCTTCTAGACAACCTGAAAGGAAATTTACTATACTGTCTTTATCTTCACCACCGGCAATACATTTTAACAGATTTCTCTCAGGTATCATGTAGTTTGGTAGATGATTGTTAAGTATGCAATGCTTAATGAAAAAGAGACATTTCTGAATCAGAAATACTAAGTGACTTGGTGTTAATTCACAAACATTTGTTGTTTCCATTACCCAGAAAATGACGTTCTTTACAATATATGAAGTAAGAAATTTACACTTAGGCTTTAAAAGTGATTTAGCCATTACCTTAAGTAATACATATGCCTTAAACTGGGTATCAGAAAAACTTGACACCAATTTCTTTTCCGCTGTAGTGTAACATATCCTCCATTCCAATGTTTGCATATCGCTTTGCTTGTCACCGATAGGAACAATATATCCTTCCATTCCAGAAACTTCATTCACAATCTCATTGGAAGGCCATTTGTTGATCCTATTCCTGCTTTTCCACTTCTCTAAGTAGTTGCCTCCATAATAGTAAAAAGAATATACAAAGTCACTATGCAATGAAGTCGAATACGTAAGAGTCACAGAAGGTCCATTTTCAGCAGATTTAAAGCGATTTCTTTGGCGGACGTTATGGAGTAAAGGATTATGTCCAGTGAAATACCTCATTTTCTCACTCGATAAGAAGTTTCTTTTTCTGAGGGTATCATACACAGAGATTGCATGGAATAGAGGTGAAAAAATTAGAACATCTGGTATTGATACTGACACTACTTTAGTGTAACCTGGTGCCGTTTTATCATAATCAGTTCCTAGAATGATAAATTCACCATGATTATCAAACCCTCAATCAACACAAATGACTTCCCCCAATACACTCATTATGTCAATATCACTGTCGGCTAGCGGAACACCTTCACCTGTGCTACCAGCTACTACCACCGTAATGCTGGGATGAAATCGAAAAGATTTGAAACGTTCATCAGTATATATTGATCTCAGCATAATTTGTTTCTTACTGAACCCCAGATTATCCAAAACTGAACTTGTTATAAGAGATAGCTCCATATCCTTTTGCTTCGACATAGTTCGATAAATATGAATTTTATTGCTCAGTTGAAACCTAAAAATAGTCAAAATGAAGAATTGATAGTAATCATAATTTATTCTAATGAAATATTACATTTTTAAAATAAAGTATGCACCAACGTTTGTATTTATTTGGAAAATGCAATACAGTAGAAAACAAATAGAAGAACAAATTGCATTATCTAAAGATAAGCGCATAAGACAAAATGGAATATCCTCTGTAACAGAAGTAATTGAATCGAGTAAGTCAACAGTAAAATAATGCTAAAAATCCATACTTACAAAGAAAACTAATATGATTGTGTTTATCACTGCTTAAAGTACATATACAAAAAAAAAAACATTATATATATTGAGCATTAGAGGGCGTGCGTGAGTGCTTGTAAATGTGTATATACTTGCGCGCGTAAATGTGTGCGCGCCGCGCAGGAGCATGTGTGCATTTACGGGCGTGTTACATTACAGTTTAGAAAATAATTGAAAAATTAATTAAATGGAATATGTTATATTGAATACCTGCTACGACAGTATGTGAACATGAATGATTGTATTTAATACTCGTATATGAAAAAAAAACATAATAAAAGAGAGAGAAAAAAATCGTAATTCAATAAAAGATTTTGTATGTCTAGAAAAAGGTGAAAACGTGAATGTGATTGGTCAATACAATCGGTAGTCGAAGGTGTATTTTAGATGAAGAGTGACTGGGTTATTATTTTTCGTTTCTTAACAATTGTGTCTTTATTTCCAATGAAGTTTTGAATATTGATGATAGAACAGCGTTCAAACAATTTGTATGTCGCCTTTTCGAATCGGAAATTGAAATGGACATTTTTAATACACATTTTGTCTATAAAATATACGTCATGTCGTGTGTAAGCGCTATAGCTTTTGAGAGAAGTTAACTAATAATAAAATGATTAGCTACAGAAATAAACTTGATATAAAATTCAAATAACTAAAAATAACTCAAATAAATGAAAAAATATCGATGGATAAAAAGAACAATAAATTTTAAATAAATCTTGATTTTCTGGTTGAATATAAAGTTTAAAATTGACAAGGATGATATACATAAAGGCTTATTATATGATTATATTTATCTATTACTGGTATTTGGCTCTCATAGATTAAAACAAAACCGATCGTGAGATCCTAACCTAGTAAATTAAACAAGTGCCATATCACTATACTCATATAAAAACCCTATTTTATTGTGAGGATTTATTTTCTTTCCTTAAAGTGATTTTATCGATTCGTTTTTACTTTGATAGTGATTGTTTGTATTACTTAACAATATTGTGTCTATCATTTTAAAATGATAAAGAAGCAAACTAGAGGACATTGTGAAAGAAAAGGTTTAAATTCAGATTTTATGATAACATATATATGCATGCATCAGAAATTTCTTATATGTAATGCACTGTCAAATTTCTAAATAAATATCATACCTCTGAAATAGTGAAGCTTACCGTCCGCATAAAGTAATTATGAAGCAAAACTGAGTCCAAAGCGCATATCTTTATAATTATGGCACTTAAGATACGGAAATACTAATTATTTTTCCTTCAGTTATAACAATGGTATATTGTTACACTGGCTCAGGGTAAATGCACTTCTCGTGCATTAAGACCTGCAAATGCACGAGGATGCATTTTTAAACCCGAGTCAGGAGGTTTCGCAGATGCTAATCCAGTGCCAAAATGGCAGTCTGATATTTTTATATTGCACTTTGACTCAGGCATTTCAAATTCTAATTCACAATAATGATAGCCATAAGTGCGCCGTAAAATCATGCAGATATATATCATGTTAAGTTCGTTCAGTAAATCGAAGATAATTGTGATCATCAATATCATCTTAATTCGTTAACATTCTTATTATATTCTTTAATTTTATATTTACCCATATTCTTACAAAGTTCACACGTTTGGTTTCGACAGTAGGTAAAACATATACACATTTGTAAGAAAAATCATATAAAAACAATTTTCCATGGAAATGTATGTCATTACACCTGTAACTACTCGTATATTCTGACAACAGCGTATGAAATTACTTCATTCATAAATGTAAAATTACGCCATCCTAAGCATGTCATTGTATAGCACGCGACTCATCTGGCAAAGCCCCCTACCCCACCCCATCCCGCCTTGCTAGTTGAAATTTCCGGCATGGGTAAATAATGGAAACGCCAGTCTGATATGAAAGAATTACTGAAAGTAATTCTTTTCAGAACAACAACTCGGTCGAGTACGATGATATTTAATACAGTTCAATTCCAGCTGTATTCATTTCTTATCTAAGATGTAAGAGTTATTCATATTAGTAATGTACCTATCTATGTGTATAACTTTATACAATTGTCAGCTCAATGCGCGACATATTTGGAATTGTTGAACACACATTTATCTATCTAAAATTGATTTCATTTTTGCTTTTGTACATATCGCGGAAATACCCTTTAAACTGTATGCATCCAATCATCCAATCAGTTAACTCACGCGTATGTTTGATGCAACCCCCCCCCCTCCCCCCAAAAAAAGAAAAAAACAGAATTGATTACTGTATTACCAAATTTGTAAACCGATACTATCTTAGTAGTGCTTTTTGAAATGGTATATAAAAAAGAAAGAAAAATGGAAAGGGAAGGAAACCATTGAAGGGAAACTATATTTCTAAAATAAAATAACGCATATTGTCTTTGTTTATGAAAAAGGGAAAATTAATTTCATGAATGTTGAATAAATCTCCTTAATAAAAGGGTATAACATTCCTTCCTTATCACTGATCATACGTTACGAATGTCAAGTGTCATACAAGTAGTTATTGAATAGTGTTTCACGAAATTGGCAAAGTGCATCATTAGGCCATCTTAACTACTGAAATCGACGTTCTGTACAGTGTGACGGAAATTATAACGATAGTCCCTTTAAAGTCAAAATGACATTTTCATTAAAGAAGATGGCAAATGGATATGAGTCAGTTTTTATGCAAAATTATAAATTGTCTAAATTTATACAAACGCTTGAAAGCGTTCAAATACCATGGTTTCATCTAGATTTTGACACTTACACAGTGTACATCTAACGTTTCAATATACTCAGAAAAAGTTTTTAATTTTCAAAATTTTATTTTCTTATCTCACTTTAATTATTATAATGCATAAACGTGTGTGTTAACTTGTGCTTAATATGCGTGTGCATGATCTAGCGTTCGTGCAAATATTTCTACGAAAAGCTCTGATAGAACGTGTCATTGTACATGTACATTGTCTAAAACGCAAGAGCAGAAGTAATCGGATTTGTACTGTTTCGAAATTGTACACTTTATATAATATTTGAGCAAAATACTAACCAATAACTGTATGTTTCCATGAGGGCAAATTATGTAAGAATAGAGTTATTGAATAAAATCAACAATTTTAGCTTATAAACATGGAAAAATGATAAAGTTCCTGGTGGTGAGGGGCAAATAGTTGGATGTCAACAACTATAACAAGTTTAGCATTATTAGTCATTATGAGTCGTCATGTTCTTTTGAATTATGACACGTAATTTAATATCTACAGTTTGTTTGACATAAATTCAACGAGTTGGTATATACATTTGTAATTCCTTATCTATGTCAGAATTTTTACATGAAAACGTACATGTGTTCTGAACGCACTTTGGAATATAAAGAACTGAATTTAACCTCCACTGCCTTGATAAACTAATGTTGACTTCCAGTGTTCACAGTATCGATTATTTAAGACAAAAAATGACGTTTTTCAACTTAAAATATAAAAAAATGAATATAATTATTCGATGGACAATGCTACTTATTATTCTCACGACTATTATATTTGCACACAGTACAATAAGTCAGTTTCGGACAAATTCATTTGCAGTGTCGCCGTTAATACACGAAGTTAATCATATTGCTCTTGTGTAGTCATATCAAAATGTTCTTGAATTATTCATCTGATTGCATGACTATTTAATCTTTCATTCCATGAATCTCTTATATCGTAGTAAAATTACACAAGATGACGGTTTTTTTGTCTGAAATGACCGGGTACCGTCGATAAGTAGGTCCCGATAAATCCTGGATTGAGAACGGGGTATATACATTAAACTTAAAAAGCTTTTGTACACAAACTTATGAACAATGTCTCATATTTAGCCATAATTGCGGTTCTTCAATTTAACCTTAAGCAAACCATTTTGTTTTATTGATAATTGTAAAAAATAAGAATAAAAGAAATAAAGATTGTTTCATTTTCAACAAATTTGAATTTCTTTCGTTTGATCAACCGATATTATGTACTCTACAGGTTGATGATTTACTGTTATTGGATTTCATTTTTAACAGATAATTAAATACGTAAAGAATGTGTTCCGTTGTCTTACATGACAATTCCATTAAAAGTTTCATTTTTTGTCATTCTCCGTAAAAGCATGTATGCAAGATACTGGTTAATATTTATACTGACTATAAATGAATACAAATGTATATGAAATAACTTGTACAGTAATTGACACAAGTCAATATGCCTGGTGTGAATTTAAAATAAGCTTTGATCTGATATATCTGAAATACAAATTAAAGGTTATATGACCGGTTGCTTTATTGCGAACGTAATTCGAAAAACAAATTGTGAGCTAAATTAATTCACGTTTTGAAGAAGTAATATAACATAAATATTTGACTCTAAACAATGGATTGAAAGGACAAAAGTTATGCTGTGGACAAGAACATAAAGAAAAATAGGTTTTCAGGAATAACTGCTTAATAAAATGTAACGCAGTTTATAATACCTAGTTACTTTAAAAGAATTGTTTGAGTGCATAAAAATATTGCATCATGTACAATAGATGATTCGCTGAAAAATTGACATATAGTGCAACATAGATGCATGGTTGGAAACGTTATAAAGTCGTATCAAAGTCTGCTCAATTATTTACTGACTATATAGCTGGACAGCACATCGAGGTCTGTTTGAGAGTTCTGTTTTAATTTTTTGTTCCACAATAAGTTAAAGTTAACCGGGTTAATAGGCAGTTCATAGTAGAATGAGCAATTGTTGTAGTAACAATGTAATAACAATAAACATTCCATCTGAGATATAGAATCTTGTGTGTATGTATGTGTGTGTCTTTGAGGATTGTAAGTGATGCCATATGATAGACAGTTGTGCAGTAAGAGGTTAACTTGTCGGTTATAGCCGACTTGTAAAATAATGATGTTTTAATTGATTTATTTGAACTTACATCTTGTAACTAAAAGTTAAATAAGTGAAGAAAAGAAAAAAAAAAAAGAAAATGCAATACAAAATAATAATGGAATATTTCTAAACCGTTTTTAAAATGATTAACTTTGTGTTTTTTATTATTATTGGATTGATTGGATTGGATAAGTTGTGAACTTATAATTATGGGTCTTATGATACGAGGAAAACGGAAGAATGTTGGTAAGTAATACTTTCACTGGTGTATGACTTTTTATGACATTCATATTTTAGGTAGTAAGAATCAACAGATTTTCTTCGTCTTGGACCTTAATGAATATATTTATTTCACACCTTGTATAATATATCCAATGAAATGTCAGCGTTTACATCACGTGCTACTCCTATAAAAGCCATTATCGGATCCAATGTAATCATATTTGGTCTCTTTCATTTCCAGAGTTCAAAAGTTCATATCAAATGTATATTGTACCCGACATGTTCGTTTCCAGGGTAAAAATGTAATATCAAATGAATATCTTACTCAACCTAGCCTCGTTTCTTTTTCAGAGTCTAACATATACATTATTCCTTCCAATGGAAGAACTATGTTTGTTGAAACTCACTGAAACTCATACATATTATCTAAACTTTCATATAAATGTCATTTTTGCTTGTTTTAATTATTTCTTCGTTTTCTATAATTACATAGAGCTCTCATAAAAGCATCGTTTAGTCTATTTCAAGGTTAAATTGTCATTCACATTATTATTAACATCATCATCGTCATCATAATAATGATCATTAACCGCTTTTCATCATCAAATTTTCATACTCATTTATTTGAAGTACAATCATAGATACTTCATAGATCTAAGACAAATCTTTTATTTAGTAGTTTTAGCCGTACACTACAAACATTTTATACTTACATGTATTATAGCAACTTAAAAAAACTATCCTGCGGGGTAGGCAATTAGTAAGATGCACAGACTGACATTTTTATCATGTTATCAAAAGAACGTAACGATCTTCATGGATGTATCTCAATGAAATAGTTCGTTCAAAGCAAAGTGTAATAGTAAAGCATTCACTTTTATTTTCTTTAGGTTTCAGAACGTTTTGGAGATTGTTATTGTTTACATATTGATACAATAGTGGGCTTTAATGTGTTAAGAAAATAAACACTTGAAGCTATGAATCTAAAATGAAACAAAAAAATGTTAATGGATTCAAAGAAGTCGTGACAATTATTCGAGAATTCGAGAATCAAAGAATTCGACTCGCAGATATTAAATCCGGGATAGACTGAA